GGCCTACAAGATAAAAATGAACTCTGTTTGTATGCGTTAGGGTTAGGGTTAGCATTTGCTTATGGGAGGCATCTGTAAGTGGACCTTCAACGGTATATAAAATACAGACAGAGAATGTAATGCACAGAAATAAACCTCACAGTCACATTTGCAATTTACGGTGGCTCGTAATGGTTTCCAGCCGTTATACTCTGACACTTTATCAAAGTGATGTTAGAACATTTGTTTGTACAAATGCCCAATCATTGGTGAACAAGTTGTAGTCATCTTTTAGATAAAATAGGTTACCACAGCAATAATAAAACCTGTCAAAGAACACCCTTAATTTTAGCTTTGAGTGTTAATAATTAAAAAAAGCTCAGTGAAACCCAGTTCTTATTATAAAATTGCAATGGGCCTGTTAACATGCAACTTTTTGCAAAGTTTAAATTTAAATTTTCGTAAGTTTGAAATGCCTTTGAACCCCACCTACATGTTTTTTTGTTTTTTCCGACTTTGCAAAAAGCTCTATCTTAATATGTTTATAACCACTCACAGTTTGGAGAAATTTAAATTACAGAAATACTGTAAGACTGGGATTTACAGTATTAGTTTTAAATAAGATAATCAAGCTAGTAAAAATAATTCTTAAGGGAGGGGGGTAAGTCTGCATCAGGTGTCCTGTGGTGTTTAACAGGCACACAATTATGCAACTAGGAGCACACCATCCCCCCATCCCTTCAGAAAAACAGCATTAAATCCTTTTTAATTTAAGGTTTTCCCAACTTACAAGTTGCCAGTGCTCAATTGCAGCATGACACTTCTCATCCATCCCTTGATCATTTTTGTGTTCAACCAAGCAAGGCAGAACTCCTTCTGTGTTCCCATGGGTAACAATATCCTATCAAGTCAAAACACAACATCCCCATGAACAATTGCTCGTGTTTCGATGATACAAAATTCTACAACTATTACAAAAACCAAAACGAAAATGCAGCAACTAAACGTACTGTTTCTAGTCTGAGCTCTGCGACTGCTGAACGACAACTAACTGACACGGCCGATTTGAATATAAATTAGTTAAGACTTAAATTCAAGCATGTCGTGTTTTGTTCCCCTGTCCCAACAGACGGTGTTAGTGTTAATGAACAAACGTTCGCCGCAACAGTTTGTGTATCTATATAACATCAACATTGAAGTATGATGAATGTAACAACTTCTACTTCTATTTTCTCATAAAATGTTTAATATGTATCTCCTCATGGCCAAGAGACAATCCTTCAAGGCCAGAGTTTCTTGTAAGTATGCACCGAGCACAGAAAAATTTAGACAAATAAATTTAATGCTACAACCTGAAATTACCTCACAGAACTTTGTAACCATACCAGAGCAAGCACGCACCAGAGTTCTGTCAAGCTTATAATCCTGTTAAGAAACCGGCAAAAACTTTTTAAATGATCAGCTAATAAATTTCGGTCTTTTCTGTAACATGATGGATATATATTTAACTTCTCCTTTAGTATTCAGAGGTTTCATTCAACATTTCAAACAGGAGGGCAACTGGTTTTCACAATTGGGCAAAACGTTTTGAACTGAAATTCTTTATAGAAAAACATTCCTCTAGATGGTCAAACCAGGCAGGAAAAATCATCCTCATGACCAGTAAATTTGTACCGTGCCCAACCCTTAAAGAAACCTGACTATTCATTACAATTGAAGGCTTTCGTGCAAAAAGGGTGTATATAGCTTTTTGGGCCGATTTTTTATTTTTTGCAGGATTGAGCTAATTTTTGGCAGACTGACTTGTTTCGACATGAAAAGCATTGTTGCGTAATTGTTTTTGTTGATTTGCACTTCGTTTTTGAGAAATAACGTATGCAAAAAAACTCAGTTTTTTGACCTGATGCGAACTTAAACATTTACTTTTAGCAGCTTCGACAGCATGTTTTTTGGGGGTATGAGAGGCAGTAAGAGGAATTTGGTAATGGAGCTAACTAACCTTGCCTTCCTCCTCTGTGAATGTACTAATGACATCATGGCATTTAGTGGTCAGGTCGTTGAATTTCTCCTGCAAACACTGAATCTCCTATAAAGCAAGGCCAAAACAGCAATTAACGCCCAAGTTGCTGGTGGAGGGAAGGTGCCTATGAAGTCCGGGGGCTGCAACCGCAGTCACATCCCCAAGGCACTAGAACACCCGACTGGCCTGCCCAACCTGCAACCAAGCCATGAGCACCCTACGCCAGGCCTGCTTCAGGCACCTGTCACACTCTGGCCAGATAGCTCAGTGGAAAAAAAACTGCTTAAAGAAAGGGGGGGAATAGGGAGGGAACGCCGAGAACTGCTAAACTACTATAATTCAACCGACAGCGCCACGCTAACAGAGCAACGAACACACTGCAAGCACAAGAGATGACAACGAACATACTAACCAAGAATACGGCTGGACAATGTCAGCCCCAGGGCTCCCACAACCATAATTTTTATGACTGCTGCAAAACGCTATAGAATGCAATAAACGCTTAACAAATGTTAACAGATGGCCGAGACGCTAACAAACGCCTACAAAAACGCTACTGACCAGACTAGCTCCTAGTCGTTACCTATGTTAAATTCCATTTGACTATATTAAATAAATGTAAGTGTCTGTCCACAAATCTTGCCTGTGAAGCCTGCAAAACAATCTCACCCCCTGGAGAATAAATATAATTATGACCAGCATGACAATACCATGATAACGGCATGTGTTATGCAGTGTTGTCTATATATTGCTGCTTTTACACCCAGGCGTAAAGCAATATGAAGGGTGATAGTTAATGTCTTATTAACCAAGCTTGCTAGGGACCATACTGGGAAATATTGGCCCTCTGTCTTTTTTGAAAGACTTCTGGCTGATACTCTCCCAACACAGCACTCACGCTTGGTAAATAAGATATATATAATAACTGGTTATAATGGTTTTTTAAGACACTGGACCAAAACTGTCTTGAAACAATCACTCCAACTCAAAATTTTAACTAGACCAAATGGCCTCAAACTCCTAAACATGAAAATTCTATTTTCCAGCTGACAAGTTGTCTTCTTTGATTGAGGGTTTCTTTAGGAGGGGAGAGGTGGTACACTTGTCATTCTCCATAAGTATTTTTGAGGTTTTACTCTGTCCTCTCTTGTTTACACCCTGCCCTATCATTTTTCCCAGAATACCACGAACTGCACAGGCTAAATTCCTTCCACAATGTTCTGATAGTGCTCTTGTTTAGGTCTATTACCTCTCCTTTTCCAAGTTGTTCACTGCAGTGTTTTGCAAGATCCTGTACACAAGCTGTTTGTATTTCAGGCATCAGATGGACGTCAACAGCTCTTTGATGCATCACACGCTGCACATGAGCAGCACATTTAGGTGAAACCTGCACAACAAGAGATAAGATAACTACCGAGTTAGGAGTTGAGCTGAGTTTGAGTTGAGTTTTGTGATAAATTGAGTTAAGTTTGAGTTAAGTTTGAGGTAAGTTTGAGTTACCATTTCCTATGCTTTTTCACTAAAACAAGTGTTTAATGAGCGATCCAGATCACCTTTTACGGAAAATAAGCAGGTCATTTCACATTTAGTTTGTAGGGTTGGCATGTCCTCAAAACAAACAAGGAGAAAACAAACATGGCCGCCTTTGACTCTTAACGGCTGACTCCACTCGGCTGTATTAAGGCATTCGAAATTCATTTTCTTACAAAATAATTATTTTTATTTTCTCTGAAAAAAAAATTATCAGGGAAAATGCCACTAAAGTGCAGGAATAATGCAGGAATAATGCTTTTGCCTAGCTAAAATGCAGGGGAAAATGAAGCCCAGTAGAATGTAACGCAGTGCGGATTTGTCACTATGCACGACGCTGGCAAGCTCTTGCCAAATGGACTGAAAAAAGATATCAGAAACAAAATCAAGGTTCACAACGCATTACATATCGACAATTAGTACACCAATTGTAGACAACCACACTTCACCACTCAGGTTGTAAGACATACACTTCACATTCTGGAAATACATTCCCAAGACTGGTTTCTGTGTACCAGAAGATTTCTAAGTTACACTTCTCTTGACCCCTTGTTCAGTTGACCCCTCCATGAAAGTGAATTTGAAGAGGTACGCTGCGGCAGATGAAGAAAAATTGAATTGGAAGACACGTCCCGCAAACAATTTGAACAGTGTTATTTCAATATTTTTTTTTTTGGTTATGTGTTGATACACTCTTTTCTTGCACAAAATCGAAAGGTATGTTCCACCGCAAAGCTAGTTCTTTCCATCAGCTGTTTCATTAGGCGGTATATATAGAGCATGTACTGAAATACCATCTGAAAACTGTCTTTGACAGCCTGGTTTTGTGCACCACCATTCGGGGCCACGTTTCAAATGAAATTTTAGAAATGCATGACAGAAAAAAGTGCTCGATCTCACCACGAGAAATTCGAACTACTACGTTCTCACTATGAGAAATTTGAATGCGTAGTTTTCCAATCACACTTCCAAGAATCTTACATGATGGAATTTTAGGAGCTAACCGCAGACTCCTCATACAACTTTGCAAAAATAGTAGTAATGCATGATTATTTCAGAACCTTGATATATTTAAATTTTTAAATAATATCAAAACCATTCAGTGGATAAAGCCAAGAAATTGTGATATTATAGACGATAAATAGAGAAGACAGTTCTCCAAGTTTATGATGTGTGCATCGTCCCAAAGTTGAGATATTTGTTGAAAAGTTTCGCGCAAATTTATAGAACCTAGTATGGAGCCGCCATGTTGGAGGACCTCCTTAGTCCTCCAATATGGTGGCCAGAAAATAGTGTAAACATCTGGAACTTACTTTGGCTATCAGGACAACTGATTATCTGAACCGAGCCAAAAAACATTTACACAAGCACTTTTCCTAATACTTTAACTCCAAAAATGGCTAAAAATCAGGAGATAAGTGGATATTTCAGTCGATCTTAGCTTCTTGTCACGCACCGCCATAACTCCGAAATTCAAAATGCGCTGGTTTCCAAACGAAGGACACTGTTGAGCTGGAAAGTTGTAAACAGATATAAATTTAGTACCTCTTGTACCTGATGAGGATAAAACCTTTAGTGGCTCCTTAGTTTTGGATTTGAGAATGTGATGAAATCACGTGCACACACACTATAATTAAAAGGTCTTTCTGCAGTGCTTTCCACCCCGGGAGGGAACTCCCATATAAACAGGACAGAGGTGCTTGTTGTACCTTTTGCGGGCAAAAAAGAATGTTTTGGTGCATGTACCTCTTAGTCTGTTCAGGAGATTTTGCAGTACCTTTAATTTTCAGGGTATTGAACCTACAAAAATATGGCAGGAGATGCTGTGTTGTTTTAGAATCGGCACCTCTTAGAGGTGAAACAAATTTCAAGCCACGCCCACAAAACAGGATCTTGGTACATACCTCTTAGGGGTTCTTTTCAAAATTTCCAATGAGCACCTGCATCCATTTTATATGGGAGTTTCCCCACCAGGTTAGTTTCTAAGGTACCCAGTTCGTTCATTTAAAATTAAGTCACTGTGCAAAACCAGGACTCGTATACTGTAATTTCTAATTTTTCACATGAACCTGGCTTTTGCGTAAGGACTCACTTTGAAACATAGACAAAAATAGTGGCTTTTAAACAACCCAAGTAAACCAGTTTAACAGGGTTTGACTTTCAGGAAAAAACCTTGGGGCCAGCTAGCCCCTAATTTTTCAGATTTAGTCACCAGCAAAAGTATTTCATTGAAAAGCATGAAAAGTTATTCACCAGTGAAAAAAATTTGGTTGCACTGGCAACCCCAGCGGTCGCAATGTTGAGCTCTGTTTGAGAAAATTGATTAATGAGTAGTAGTGTCGATTAGAGTCTGATAACTTAAGTCTGTAAATCATACAAGTGGTAAACAGTATTGGATAGCTGCACCATGGCATTTGATGAGATTTAATCCAATACATAGAAAATCTGTGATCTAACCATTCCACTTTCCTCTTGTTAAAACTAACTGTAATGGTGAAATTAAAAGAGGAACAAAAAGTGGAGGACAGTTGTGTTTGTTTCCAAAATTGAACAAAAAAACCTCCTTCCTGTGCGATGTCATCCAATATCAGCAGGGATAAATTGCATATAAGTCTGATCTGCATATGAGCCAAGTGGCCCATCAGGTCAGAGCTTATCCAGGTTTCTGTAGCATGAAGCGACTAAGAGTATTTCTACTCCCCCCTGAATGGGGTGGGAGTCCACCGCAGGGCTACCCCAAGCATAAAATTTGCCAGTACCCATTTATACACCTGGGCAGAGAGAGGCACTGTGAGAATAAAGAGTGTTGCCCAAGAACACAGCACAATGTCCCCTGCCAGGGCTTGAACCCAGACCACTTGATCCAAAATGGGCACACTAACCATGAGGCCACTGCACCTCCACATACATGTATATATAAATTGCATATGCTGTCCAATAAAAATGATCAAATTGGGAAAGGGCAAACAGCTGTGAAAATTGAAGATCATCATTAAAGCAGTTCATAAATAATATTGAATTGGTATTGATGATTAGTACTCCCAAATTCTCAAACATTCAATGTTTGGTAATATTAGGGATACATGTAAGTGATATTTTGATAGAACCTGGAGGGACTGGAAAGGGTAGCAAATGAATTAAAACCGTTCTGACCTTTGTTTGTATATCAAGGACAGCCTGCCTATAAAGACATGATATAATGAGGCTGCTGGGGTACAAGTCTTGATCATCCAGGCTGGGAACATTGCAGATGGTCTTAACATCATTTTGGCAAGCTTTCTTCAATACAGGATCAAGCCTGGAACATCACAACAGTATTATATAATAAAATACGTGTATTGTCAGAAAAAGAAAATACTAGACTAAATAAAATAAGTTCTATTTTGCTTAAAGTGCCTATGAAGTAAAAACTAATTGCTGCTGATTTGAAAGGCTTTTCAAAGTAAAGAAGAATGGCGTTCTCCTTTTTGGAATATCTTTTTTC